TGGACGTCCTATCCTCTATTAAATTTGCACTACTGAAAAATATAAAAAAAATATTTCCAATAAAATAAAATATCCAAAATACCCCTGAAAATGTAAAGGGGTATTTTGGTCATTATATTTTATCAATAAATTATTTTTAATATTTTTTATAGGTGAGCCCCAATGAGAATATGACATGTACCAAATTTTATATTCATAAAATTTATATAAAAAACTAAAAAAAAAATATTTTGAGAGGTTGGATCTAAGATCAAACGGTGAGTGGCTCTCTTGATCAAAATTAGAAGGTTGGATGGTAGGGGAAACATAGATCTCCCATGCTATAGGGGAAGTATAGAAACCTTTCCCTATAGTAGTTATTATAAAAATTAAGTAAATCACATTTTACTTAATTGCCCAAAAAGTTACCAAAAAATTCCGCTTGAATTGAACTATTTAATATTAATTATCTCTAATAATGCCAAGATAAAAAATAAATAAGGAGCTAAAAAATTAAATTTTAAAAATCAAACCTCTTAGCTTTCATAAGAAGGTGGATGACAATTGGGTCAGACCCAGTTTGGGTCCACCTAACCCGACTTGAATCCCCATGTCTCTGAGCCCCCCATTGGTCTGGTTCTAGTAGAGTGGTCTTGGACCGAGAAGGGTCCATAAGATTCTATTTAACCTATTTAAGGAATGTGCCCATAAGTTATTATATAAGGTGAAGAAATGTTTATATAATAGTACTGAACCTTTCACATTGCTATACTGTTGAAATGGAAGATATGTAAGTAAAACTTTGAACAAAATTCGCTTTTAGTTTTTTCGTGTTTGCTTTTTGTTTTTTTTATTTTTGCCCTAAATTATTGAGAAGGTGAATAATGAATAATAGATTGTCTAGAAGTTTCTGTCCAAGAGCTAGAAAAAGACAGAATGCCAAAAGATTCGTCCCCTGAGGGAGCATACTATCTATTTACTCTTTTTGAGGGATACAATTTAATTCAAGATTTGTTTTTTAGGATTTTAAGTTTTGGAGATGTAACATCTTCAATAGATATGCTTTACTAAAAAAAAGAAAAATAAATGAATCCAAATTGCATATTCTACAGACTAGAAAAAATAATATCTCAAAATTGATGAGAAATTGTCCAATATTTGAAGGGTGAGATTTAAGCGTTACAAAACTCAACATTAAATTTTTTTTTTTTTAATATAATCATCTAGTAAATTTTAAGTTCAAATTCAAAACATAAATGTCGCAAAATTTAACATTGGCTACCAACCTAATACAACCCTTATCCGTTCTCTAAACTGAAGACTGAGGAACGATATGTCTGGCTTGGGACTAGCCATGACAGAGTGAGTACTTGTACAGTATATATTTCCACGAAGGGCTATAGTTCTGTTAATTTTGATTTGAGAGCTGAAATGTTTTATTAGTTTTAAAGAGAGAGGAGAGACCAAGAAGTTATTATGACTTTTATAACTTGGATACTTCGTTTCCATCCTTCACTATTCAGCATGTCAACATGCCGATTTGCCCTAAACGCCAACGGGGCACACGCTTTCCACTATCTGAAAACCTCGAAGGATGTTTTAGAACATACGAAACAGTCATCATCTATTTTCTTGGGGGTTGGCTATTCTACTTTAAATATAGTATATCATAAATAAAGGCGAGAAAATTTTTTGGGCTGGCCCGTTCAAAGCCTAACAGGGCCAAAGAAGAGAGAAATTTTTGGGCCATTTTTAGGCCAGCCTTAAAAGGACTGCCCTTTTTCTTGGCCCAGCCCAACCTGGCCCCTGAAGCGTGCATTCGGTCGGCAACGGGTATGAAAATGGCCCGAAATTTTGACCAGGCCTGAAAGCCCTCTTGGCCTGGACCCTTGGCAGCCCATCCAAATCCACCTACTACAAGGGATGCATTCTTGTTTAGAGCCTTATTGTAAAGTTCCATGAACTGTAATTTAAAAAGAGGTTTGCCCCAGCTCCTTGGAAGTCCAAAATTTAGTCTTTTGGCCATTACTAACCAAGGTTCTCGCATGTGAAATGAACAAGTTTCTCATATAATTAATTCCCTTCCAAACAGTGGCATTTGAAGGAAGTCACTTGGGGAGCATACTTGTTGAAAGTGATTTGTTGATCTTCTTGACTAAATCTCCACCACCATTTAGTGAGAAGGGAATCATTCATTGGCCTTAATTTCTTGATTCCCAAGTTTCTTTCGTTCCTTTATAAGCATACGCTTTCCCACCTAACCAGGGGGATCTTGGATCCATGACATAACCAACTCCACATAATTTTTCGCAACATGTATTCTTAAGTATTTAATCACTCTCATGGGAGCTTTGTAAAGGAAAAAACAATAAACATGGGAGCTTTGTAAAGGAAAAAACAATAAACGGGTATGTTGGTCAAAGTGGCTTTGATGAGATTGGCCCGTCTTCCAAGAGATAGATATTTACTCTTCCATCCATCCAATTTGTAATAACACTATGGATGAGTGGATCCCATGCTGAAATTTTCCATCTTTCGTCTGTAAATGGAATACCCAAATATTTTAAGGGTAAAACATCTACTTTATAACTCAACCAATCCAACTGAATATTTCTTCTTCTGAACAATTAATTCCCATAATTTTGGTTTTCCCCATATTAATTTTTGCCTATGAGATAGATTCATATCATTTGAGAAACAACCATAGATTCTTTACCTGAGGTCTGCTTCCAAAAATCTTGGTAAATACTAATCCTATGTTCTTTTACTAAACCTCCCCTATTTCCCACGGAAAGCAGTAGCTTGCCAGGAAGCAAAACCATTTTACCGTAGGAGCATGGTGAATTATTCAATAACACACTCACAACTACCCAATTTGATATATGATAGACGGGTGAAAGCGGCCTTCTTATAGTAAAAGTAAATAGTCTCTTTATATACTTTCTTTATTTTAATTGGAGACCTAATTTGTGAATTTGCACCGTACCACTCGACAAAAGTGGAAAAGTAAGTGATGAGTATGGTTACTTATTAGATGTAGAAATTATCCTCTTGCCTAAATAATCATGTGTACTATTCTATCATGGGTGCACAATGTATATTTGCTCCCTTGGGAAAAAGTACTAAGGTATTTTTTCTCAATATCAAAATTATGGTCGATTTCATAATCCCAATTCAACCATTATCGAAGGAAAAGTTTGGATTTTGATCATCTGAACACTTCTATCTAGCTGTCGTGAATTGGGTTGCACATACTCAATTTTAGGGCATTATTTGTTCTTTTAGCAAGCACATATATAATATTTATTTATTTATTTATGTGACACTAGGTTGAGGAAGTTGCATCTTTTTTTTTATTTATTTATTTGGGTAAGATAGTGGGGGAGAAGCCCCCTTACCGGATTTTCATTAATCCTAATAACAAAAATATATCTTATAATTTTACCGCTCTAAAATAGACAATTTGTGCTACATAAAGATAAAAAATCCGACGGTCTAAATCATCAAATGGTGGTATTTGGTCCTAAAAGTACCTTCTAAAAGTGTAAGCTGTTTAATGAAAAGAAAGGTATACGACGTGAGCCGCCTACTTGCTCCTTTGACCTAGGACTTCAAGCAGATCTCAAATTATTGGAAATATATTTCCATCTCAAATCCCATAAATTAGAAGTTTTAAAGTGAGATCCATGAATTTGGAGCAAAATAATGCAGATATGATGACTTAATGCAATTTTCAGTCCATTGAAATTGAAATTTTATAGAGAACATGTGAAAAAATATTCACTAAAATTTCAAATGATTGAGTTTGAAAACCAAGCAATTCTTCAAAGAACAATTGTTTCATGCAAGCTGGACCACATTTCTAGAATACGCGGTCCAGAGGTATAAAGTATCCACCTTAAAGTTGAATGCAAACAAGTGGTCCATCTAAAAACAATTGTAACTAATGGTCCAAATGTTTTTTTAATAAAATTATTATTTTAGTTTTCATTTTTTTTGTTTTTTTCTTTCATATTCATGATCTCCATGTTAAAAATTAGGATCAAATTATATACATACTCTAAAAATTAGGATCAAATTATATTTAAAAAAATATTTATTGTCAGGCCCACATTTCTACAATAGGTGGGCTGGGTCCATGCTAAACGTGTCCTTCCTGAAAACTATCTCAATTTTCAAATTTTTCTCAGGAATAGCTGGGTTGGTGACAATGATCATTGGTACTCTGGACAAGCTGGGGGAAATCATTTGTGTAAAGGTTATATAAAACCAGCAATGTTTCAAATCAGCTCAGACTACTCGATCTGAATCAATGATTTTGATTTTGAGTCGTATCCAATTGCAAGCCAATGGTACTTTGAAGCGGAATTGATCAAACTACCCATAAGAGAAAAGCTATTTAACATTGGGATTGCAGACCAGAAGATCATTTACCAAGGAGGTTGCGTGATATCCAATATATTGAGTATATCATGAAGTTAAAGAATTTTTTTAAAAATATTTTCCACTTTGGCACTTATTCCATAATGATATGTTTTTTAAGGAAAAGATTTATATTAAGGGCGAGGTCCTAAACAATTAGATTAAGGTGCTCTTAAAAAATCCACTAAAAAAAGTTATTTCGATGCCTAAAAAGCGTCAAATTAAAAAATCCACTAAAAAAAGTTATTTCGATGCCTAAAAAGCGTCAAATCGATCATCTCGATCTCAAGATGTATAAACATGAGAAAAAATAGATTTCAAATAGTAGAAATAGGCCATCTTGTAATGTATTTTTAGATTTTCATTTCAAGATGCTTTAAATGTTTATAGATCTGCTCGACCTATATTATTTTTGAAGCTTTAAATTTTATAGTCATATATGAAAATAAAGTTTCAAGTCATCACAAAGATTTCCAATACCGAAAAGCATATTCCGATCCTATTTAAAAGTGCGCCTTACTTTAGTTGTTTGGGGCCTCAGCCCTATACAAAACACACCCATTTTTTAATGTGTAGTGTAAAATTAAATCAAAAGTCATACGTAAAATACTAAATAATTCATATCTTATATCTTATGGCTATTTTGATGAATTTCTCTATTTTATTTCATACAAGGGTCCGAGTCCGGCTTCTCTTGATTACCGTCTATCGAAATAATCGGATTGGAGGGTGATGACCTTCATGGCGCACCTTTTTCCCGGTGGTCATATGGATTACATTATACATGCCCCTACGCCTAAATTAAATTATATCTCTGCAATTTCAATGAAATAGAGGTCGCTTTAAAAGCTAGGGCAACAGATTTTCGACATCTTCACTACTGCATAATTTATGCTCCCCGCCTCTCTCTCCCCCCCCCCCCAAATCGAGGTCGCCCTCAGATAAACCGGCCCTCTGCTCTCTCTCTCTCTAAATTAGGTTCTGTCTTTAAGGGAAATTAGGTTTTTCTCTCTGTGTTTGTTCCTTGTGGTGGGAAGTGAGAAAGGTCCTAAGGGAAATTAGGGCAGGAATTGTAAGATTCCTCATTCTCTTTACCTGTTTTAATCCCTTTACAACCCATCAGTCCTCTCTCTCTTTCTCTTGTTAAATTACTCAGGCTTCGATTTCCTGTGAATTTCCTTACCTTTGCATCCATGGTGAGCGGTTCAAATTCAATCCAATCCAATTGAGGGCTGCCTCTCCTTTTTCGATCTCTTCCCCCCTGGTTCCCAATTCGTTACTCTGTCTCTCTGTGTGCTTTAACCGATAGATCATCGGTCTTCGTCTTCATCTTCTCTGAAATCCCCATTATCAAATCAAATTGAATCAAACCACAATCAACGCAGCCCCTTCCTCAATCCATCAAACTCAAAACCTCTGAAAAGAGGTGTGGGAAAGGCCTTCCTCAATCCATCAAACTCAAAACCTCTGAAAAGAGGTGTGGGAGAGGAAATAGAAGAAAGCAGCAGTAGCCATGGTCGGTCCTGTAGGCACCCAGAGCGCGAACCAACTGTCGGTCCAATTCCTAAACAACGTGCTCTCCCAGCGAGGCCCGTCTGCCCTGCCGTACGAGGAGGAAGCGAAGTGGCTCATTCGTCAGCACCTGGTGGGCCTGGTGCAGCACTTCCCGTCCCTCCAGGTGAAGACTGCCACTTTCACACACAATGACGGTCGCTCTGTCAACCTCCTCCAGGCTGAGGGTACCATCCCCATGGTGTACCATGATGTAGTCTACAACATCCCCGCCGTCGTTTGGCTCGTCGAATCGTACCCCCGCCTTCCACCCCTTGTCTTTGTCACCCCTACTCGAGACATGATCATCAAGCGCGCACACCCTAATGTAAACCCGTCAGGCCTCGTCTCGGTGCCCTATCTCCAACATTGGGTCTACCCATCTTCGAACCTTGTGGACCTTGTTAAGAACCTCAGCCACCACTTTGGCCTTGATCCCCCTCTCTACACCACCACCAGTGCTACGGCTGTGAAACCACCACCTCAAAGGCCTAGCACTAGTGAAGCTAATTTGGTTTCTTTTTCGTTGGCTATGACTTCCTCAAATAGTGGAAGTGTTCGACCAGTGTTGCCGCCTAGGACTTACTCATCACCATATGGTAGGTTGCCGCCCTCACCTCAGAGGCCACCAGCTATGGAGGACCCTTCGGAGGTCTATAAGAGGAATGCGATTAACCGATTGCTTGAGATGTTGCATAATGACGCGATGGAGTTGCGGAAGGCGAGGGAGGCAGAGGTGGATGTGCTGTTCAATTCGCAGGCGGTGCTTAGAGAGAGGGAAGAGCAGCTCACTAAGGGGTTGAGAGAGATGCAGGATGAGAAAGAAGCTCTGGAGCAACAGCTTCAGATTGTGCTCACAAACACTGATGTGCTCGAGGCATGGCTCAAGGAGAATGAGGACAAGAAGGAGAAAGCTGGGGTTGTTGACATTGACCATGTCTTTGAGCCCATTGATGCATTGTCAAAGCAGATGTTGGAGTGCACAGCTGCAGATTTGGCTATCGAGGACGTGATTTATTCGCTTGATAAGGCTGTCCAAGAGGGTGCCATCCCTTTCGATGCGTATTTGAAGAGCATTAGAGCTCTATCACGAGAGCAGTTCTTTTACAGAGCCACTTCAGCAAAAGTTAGGGCTGCACAGATGCAGGCGCAGGTTGCAGGAATGGCTGCTAGGGTTTCTCCTCAGTATGCAGTTTGATTCGATTCTTCTCCATAATGAAAGAGGACATCCAAGGTGTAACTGGTTCTTATCTGCAATCATTGTGATCATGGCGCACTCAGAGCAATGCTACATGCTCGTTTAGACAGTCAATTTGGCATAAGACAGTGGCTGAAGCTCATTCCTCTTCTGAAATTTTAAATAACTGCACACCCAAATACTTCAAGTCAAGGAAGAAGAGGTGCTAAGTGCATTTTGGGTCCTAAGGTTTATCATGGTGGGGTCCTCCGTAGTGGAGCTTCTTTGGTCGTGCAATTTCTTCTTGGATGTTGGAACAGTTGCAGAAGGTCAGTTCAGATTGATATAATGGGATATGTGATTCTCTGTTTTTGGGTCTTTCGGGTCTTGCCATTTTCATTTTTTCCTTTTTGGTTGTAGTGAGAATAGGTGATAAAACAAAGTTCTGTAACATTCTAGGGTCATTGAAGAACACATATCTTGAAGTATATTCATTGTGATATCTTATTTTTGTAGAATAATGATGTGGGCCACCATTTGGTGTGCTCATGATTTTGTGAGGTATGTTATTTTCCACCACGATTATGAGATGCCTTATGTCTTTGAGATGCCAATTATCTATCTATATATATGTGCCTTACAAGCCACAGTGAGCATCACAGAATTCCTTCCAGTTTATCATAAGCATTTCTTAAGTTATTTTGTATTATCTCGCAGTTGGTTTATCGCTTGCCCGTGAGTAGAGTGAATAGGATAGTTTAGGAACTGTGTTGCTTGGAGCTTTTGTGCTTACATTATTTGTTTTCCATTTAGCATCATTATAGGAGGCACAAAATAGATCTGGAAATGGGCAATATGAGCTGTATAGCAGATGTGATTGAAGGTTGATGATGGACTGAAAGCAATTTTCTAACAAGTTCTTTTATAAAATGTGGAGGTTAGATCATATGGGGTAACTTGGAAAGAAAGGAACTGGATGGTGACAAAATAAAATCAATCTATTCAAGTGGCGATGAGAGGAATAACTTGGAAATTTAAAATTGAGTTCTGGACATAACACTCCCAATGTGATATTTATGAGAGATGGAAGCTTCTTCCTCACACTGAGAGCTTTGAGTAACTTGGAAACTTCTTGTGCTACTTTTATTCTTGTACATACACTTTGGATTTGTTTCTTGTATTAATATAATGGGTGGGGTACCTGCTCAAACCTCATGTTAACTTGTTGAAAAGAAAAAGATGTTTGATACTGCTATGGATACTTGTAATGACGTCGGTAGCACGCAGACATGCCCGCATATAAAGTTTTTCCTACTTTGTAATATATAATGACATAACTTCTAGTAAAATAAAGAGAACACCTAGGATGTGGGATGCCTGAGACTCACTTCTCGTCAGGAATTTTTTTATACCTTGTACTTCTGTGAAAATAATGTGAACATTTCCCCAGAAAAAAAACTAAAAAATATATACTAGGCATTATGATATTTATATATGTGTATCAGTTTGTGGGCTGCTTATATTTTTCTATTATGCGGGCTACAACGTACATTTATTGGTGTGTTTGATAGGTTACTTGTATTTGTGTCCCTGTCCTGGACTTTGAGCAACACTTTCATATCCTCGTTCTCCTATCCATGCTCCTACACAAACCCGTATTTGG